GACTGGGCATCCATGAGACGCTGTGGGCCATCAACAGCAGCAGAACTGTACTGCAGCGCAATCTGTAACCTCATGGCCAGACATATCCCCCTCTCAACCGTGACCATCAAACCAGGGGATCAATCCTGGTTCAATGGAGAGTGCAGGAGGGCATGTCAGGAACAGCACGAGGCATACCTGAAGATGAGGTACCAACCTGGTGAAGCCACCAAGTAGAACTACTTGCACGCCAAACAGCAAAAGCAGCAAGTGATAGACAGACCTAAGTGATCCCACAACCAACAGATCAGATCTAAGCTCTGCAGTCTTGCCACATCCAGTTGTGAATGGTGGTGAAATTAAACAACTCACTGGAGGAGGAGGCTGCACAACTTTCCACATCCTCAATGATAGAAGATCCCAGCACATCAGGGAAGAAGTGTTTAGTTCTGAAAGACTAATGGAGTTACAACAAAAAGATGAGACAGTAAAAGATGTATATCGTATAGCCTACTTGGAAAAGGAATCAGAATGAATTCCAGAATGTTATTACCTTAAGGCTCTCCTAAGGCAGAAATGCAGACCGTGGCAGGTTAGTGCAGGGGAAAAATGGGTGGTAGTTCACCAAATTGTGTTGCAGGTAGTATACAGGCAGGAAGAATTGCGGGTAGTACACAAATTACCTGTAGGAGATCATCTAGAGTGAGGAAGAGTCAGCTAAGATACAAAAATATTTCTATCACCCTGGATTACATAAAGATATGGTTGAATTTTGCTGTACCTGTCATACAAGTCAAATACTACGAAGGCCACCGGCAGCATAGAAACCAGTGCCTTTGATGCCAATTCCTGCATTTGAAGAATGTTTCTTGCGGGTTATGATTGATTGTGTAGGTCTCCTCCCTAAAACCAAAAGTGGGAACCAGTATTTGCTAACTGTAATGGATGAGTCTACCAGGTTTCCAGAGGCAATTCCATTACGGAATGTCAAGGTAAAAAAGGTTCTGGAGGAGTTTTTGCTTTCTTTACCCGTTATGGACTACCCAGGGACAGTCAGTCAGACCAAGGGTCCAATTTTACTGCCAAACTATTTAAGGAGGTCGTGAATAGTTTAGGCATCCAACAGTTTAAATCAAGTGCGTACCATCCTGAATCCCAGGGAGCATTGGAAAGGTAGCATCAGACCCTAAAGACTATGCTGAGGGCTTATTGCCAGGATTACACCAATGATTGGGATAAAGATATCCCATTTATATTATTTGCCATTAGAGATGCCCCAAATGAATCAACGCAGTTTACACCATTTGAATTGATATTCGAACACGAAGTAAGAAGGACTTTAAAATTAATTAAGGAAAAGGTGATAGGTCCAAATTCAGAGATCTCACAGTTGGATTATGTATCTGAGGTGAGAGAAACCAAGTCAATGAATTACCTAGACAACATCTAAAGGTGGCACAGCATCTAATGAAGCAAAAAGCAGATAAGAAATCTAAAATTCATACATTTGCCAGTGGGGATAAAGCATTGGTGTTGTTACCAGTAGAAGGAGAGCCCTTCAAAGCAAGATTTAGTGGTCCCTATCAGATTGAGAAGAAGTTAAGTCACTTTAATTATCTGGTAAATATGCCAGATAGGGAAAAAAAATTATCGGGTATGACGTGTACATGCTGAAACCTTACAATGACCGGGAGAGCAAACCAGAGAAACTGTTTTAGTTACTGCCACTCAGAGTGAGGAATCAAATTCAGATGATTTGGATTTTGATGTGCTTCAGAATAAATTTTGAGGAAGTCCTTAAAGAATGGGATAGGATAGTAAGCAATCTGTCTCAGGAACAGAGAACTGAATTGCAACACTATGAGGACATATGTAGAAATAGAATGGGGAGGCCTAATACTATAGTACATGTAATTGATGCAGGGATTGCTGTTCCAATAAAACAACACCCCTACAGGCTTAATCCTCTCAAAGCAGCACAAGTACAGAAAGAAGTGGAAGCGATGCTCCAAGAAGACATTGTCAAGCCAAGTCAAAGCGAGTGGAGTTCACTAATCGTGTTGGTTCCCAAACCTTATGGGACTCAACAATTCTGCGTAGATTATTGGAAGGTCAGCACCATGAGTAAATCAGCCTCATACCCAATTTCAAGGCTGGAGGACAGTGTGCAAAAAGTTGGACAACCCACTTACATCACAAAGTTGGACTTACTTCGCTGTTTTTGGCAAGTACCTTTGTCAGAGAGAGCAAAAGAAGTTTCGGCATTTGTAACCCCAAATGGGCTGTATCAATTTAAATTAATGCCCTTTTAATGAAAAATGCACCAGCCACATTTCGAAGACTTATGAAGAGAGTTGTGGCAGGATTGACTAACTGAGCCATCTATATAGATCACGTAGTGATCTTTAGCCATTCAGGGGCAGATCACATGGTGCATTTCACAGAGCTATGGAAAGCAGAGTTGGTCATAAACTTGGCAAAGACAGAATTCGCAAAGGCGGAAGTGATGTTCTTAGGACACAACATCGGACACAGGCAAATGACACCAAGGAACATGAAGACGAAGGCTATCGAGGAGTTTCCAAGACCATCCTCAGAGAAGGAAGTGCTACGATTTTTGGGACTGAGTGGAACTACAGGAAATTTGTACTAAACTTCAGTATCGTGGTGGCACTGCTGATGGATTTTTTGAAGAAAAGCACAAAATTTCAGTGGCTAGAACAATGCCAGGAGTCATTTGAGAATTTTAAAAGCAGTGTTAACCACTGCAGCAGTTATAGTCATACAAATTTCGTGAAACCCTTTGAAGTCACTATTGACGCAAGTGATGTAGGGGTTGGAGCTGTGTTGTTCATAGATCATCTTAGAATCCCTATAGTGTGAAAGCAGGTCCTTTGGCCCAACATGTCCACACCGGCCTGAGAGCATCCCCCTATAACCCTCCTAATCTACACATCGCTGAACACTACGGGCAATTTAGCATGGCCAATCCACCTAGCCTGTATATCTTTGGATTGTGGGAGGAAATCAGAGCACCTGGAGGAAACCCACACAGACACAGGGAGAACATGTAAACTCCACACAGACAGTCACCTGAGGGTGGAATCAAACCCGGTCCCTGCCGCTGTGAGGTAGCAGTGCTAACCACTGAGCCACCATACTGCCCACTATTTTACTACTAGTTGTTACAGGAGGATGACTGTGGAATTGTTAGGCCAATCAGTTATTTTGCAAAGAAATTCAGTAGCCACAGGAGAAAATATTCAACAGTTGAAAAAGAGTTATTGAGTTTGGTATTGGCCTTTTACAGCATTTTAATGTTTATGTTGCAAACAGTATATCGGAGACGTTTGTGTACACTGATCACAACCTTTTGATATTTTTGCAAAGATTTAGATAAGAACACCAGACTATTTCATTGGAGTCTTATGTTACAAGCATTTAATTTACAAATTGTACATGTTGCAGGTTGTGAAAATGTTATTGCAGATGCATTATCACGGGTTTAGAAGGAAAACGTGTACACAAGACAGAAACTGCAGTGTTCAATATTATATATGTGTATTTAGAATTAGTATGAAATGTGTAACTCTAGATTAATGACCTATGTATCTAGAAATAATGGCGTGAAGATTTAGGGAAAAAAAGCCATCTTTTCATGATGATGGTTCTGTTTTTTCTCAAGGGGGAGGTGTTGTGAAGTAGGGTATAGTACTTGTGGGTTGGAAGTCAGGACATTACGATTTGCTTGTACAATTATAGGGGGAGAAATTGTGTGGTCCCTTTAAAAGATTATTTGTTTTTTTTATAGGCTTGGAGATTTTAAAATAATGTCTGCAGGCAGCAGCAGATGCACAGAGTTCTTGACATTGGTACATTGTGTCAAAAGGCTATACTGTTAACAGGCAAATCAGCATTTTTACCAAGAAAACAGGTGTTTGAATTTAGCCAATTAATTTAAACCAGCCCTAGATACCAAAACCCAATTAAATTTAAATCTGATGGTTTTGACAACCTCAGGCTAATCCTATTGTAAGAAATTAATAGATCTCCAGGGTATAAAAGAAGAGGGCATTTGAAAATCAGGTTGAGAGCAAACTGCCATTTGTTAGAGAACAGCTCTCAACAGCCAACAGCTCTAAAGAAAAAGAAAATCACTGACTCTCACAGAAATCTCTAAGATCTCGGAGTAAGCACCATCTAAATAAAGGACTACGGCACACTTAGCTAAGAATTTGACAAAAAAAGGCATTCCTGACTGGAGGATATTGGAGAAGGCGAGACTTATCCTGGCTGTACTTTCAAGACATTAAGCTTTAATTTATTTTTATTGATTTGGTTTATACAAAAGGTTTTATATCTATTGGAACAGCATACCATTAGAATTTTGTTTTATTCAGGAATAGTTAGTAGTTAAGTGGGAATTGTTTGATTTGTTAGTAGTTCTGTTAATTTGTTAACAATTAGAGTTACTTGTTGATTGTAGAGTGACTGTCATTTCATTTCACCTCCCCTGCTCCGTAATACCATCAAATATTCATTCTGATCCTTCTCTCTGCACTTGGTCTGCAGCTGTAACACTGTTTTCTGCACTATGTTGTGCTATCCTGATGCACTTTTGTATGGTACCATCTGCTTATATAGCACGCAAAACAACACAGTTCACTGTATCTTAGTACATGTGACAACAATAAATCAATCAATAAATATTGCCTTTCATAATGTCAGTGTATCTCAAAATGAGGAGTCGGTCTGCACACAGTAACATCCTACAAACAGTAATGAAGTAATGAGCAGGTCATCTGTTTTCTTGACATTGGTGTCCTGGCTAATATTTATCCTTTAACCTATGAGAGCTCCGCATTTACAAAATAATTTATAGGTGTCAGTACGCATGGATTTACCTGGATTAACTGGATTAATTGTCTAGTTGAATGTTCTGAGCCTGTGCTGGTTATCGGGCCCAATGACGGATTCCAGACTGAGGCAATGTAATGAAATCAGTTTGTTTCTTTGTACAGTGCCCGGGAGCTTGAGCTAGAGGATCGGCAGAGCCGGTTGCAACAGGAACTCCGTGAGCGCATGGCCATAGATGGTATGTACTCAGTCCTCACTTTACTCTGTTCACTAGCTGACAGTCAGATTGGACAGATGAGCTTCAATATGTTTCAGCATGGAGCTTCAAGCAGGACAGACTGAAGCTGGAAGGGGAGAGGACATTGTTCCTGGGTGCAGCCTCCACTTTCTATAAAGAAACCAACAACTTTTTGGGGAAATGGTTATTCCTAGAGTAGTCAAGACAAAGATTCCAGCAACCAAGTGTGGAAGACCCCATCTCTGTAGACCCCATCCAGGAGGATGTGCCCAGAAAGTATTCCAGGCTGAGGAAGAATTCCAAGGTGGTGTCTAATTCCATGGTCTTGAACCTTCTCTGTTTACAGGTGTGGTGCCAGAACACTGGAGGATATTAACATTTGTTTGAAAAGATACATAATAGGCAAGGATATCTGATGTAGTCTTTAAGTATTTTATCAAGGTTCCTGTGCAGCAGTCTGGACAATAAATTAAAAGTCCAAATTAAATTAAATTGCAAATTTAAAGTACAGGCAAAGTGACAATTCCAATCTAAATGGATCAGAGGCAATACCTAAGGGGAAATGATTAATTGGAAGCTGTTTCCTGGGGTTGCACAGGACTCGGAACTGGTTCCCTTTCTGTTTGTGGTATGTCAGTGATTTATAAGTTTGAAGACAATGCAAGAATTTGGCAGTGTGGTTGATAGCAAGAAATCAGCAAACTGCTGGAAGATATCAATGCAATGATGCAGGGGGATGCAAGGGGGATGTCTGTAAGCAGTGAAAGGGAAAGAGCAGGAACTCACTGCTCACAAGGATTTCAAAAGGAAATTGAATGGGTAAAATAAATTCACTAGATTACAGTGCGCAAACAGATGAATTAGGTGACTACAGTGAGCTAACAGTGGAATTAAGTTGATTGGACTGCTCTACAAAGAACAGGCATGCTTTCAATGGGCTGAATGATCTCCTTTATGCCTCCATGGCTCAATAGTAAGGTAGGTGGAACAGTGGCCAATGAATTTCAGTCAGGAGAAGTATGAGATAATATTTGCGAAAGCCTAACATGGCAAAGCAATGCACGATAAATGGGGGGGTTACTGAGAGCGCACATTGGAGCACAATTCCACAGATCCATGAAAGGAGCAGGACAGAGAGATAAGGTGGTGAACAAGGTATACAGGATGCATTCTGTTATTGTTTTTGATAAAGCAGAGCTGGAGGATTTCTGCTTGAACTGTATAAAACACAACTAGAGAACTGCATACAGTTCCCACCACCACATTGCAGGAAAGAAGTGATGACATTAGACAGGGTGCAAAGAAAATTTACAAGTGTGTCGCCAGGAATGGAGAATTCCTAGCTGTGATTGGATAGGAAGGGTTTTTTTACTTTGGGACAGAGAGTCTTTAAACTTCTGAGGAGTCTGGTTGAGGTGAACAGGAACACACTATTCCCTTTCTAAGAGCAATCAATAGCATTGATTTATGTGTTTGGAGGTGAGTAAATGTTTTCACCCCCAGGTAAGTGAAGGTCTGGGACTCGCTGTTTGGAAGAGTAGTCAAGGTAGAAATTTATACTGCATTTAAAAACAACTCAGAGACATACTTGACGGGCTTGAACCTACAGATTGTTGATCACAAGCTGAAGGTGGCCATAGGATGCAAAGCTCTTTTGCACCCAGCTCAGTTGAAAGATCATAAACCTTTTGGGCAGAGATAGTAGGAACTGCAGATGCTGGAGAATCCGAGACAACAAGGTGCAGAGCTGGATGAACACAGCAGGCCAAGCAGCA